ATGATGATGAATGAGTATTAAATTAATTAAGTAGCTTAAGTTTAAATGAACTACTAAACTTAAAAACCTTGAATCCATTGCAATCAAAAATATATTATTAAGATCGATTCACAATCGGCGATGATAACACGTACCTAACATGCACACATAGGTTCATTGAAAAAAAAAACGTTTTGGATGTCTGTTTTAAGTATTTTTAATATTGAGAAATAGTGCTTTTCTCGATGCAGGGACTTCAAATATTGAGGAGTTCTCCTTACACTTTATCAAATGTGAACAACACAAAATGGATTAGTCATAAAATTCAAGTAATCGAATCACACCCTGTAATAAAAGAAACTTGTTTTTAAATAGGTAGCGATCTATGGTTGTTATCATCAGTTCCATTTCAATATATGATGCTTTCAAGGAGCATATGCAAGAGTAACTAAAGGTATCCATGTAGCTGTAGGTGTATCATCTTGTCTTTTATCTGTCTACTTACAATAAAATACCAAAAGCTATGTTGTTGACCAAGCAGTCAAATAAAAAAAGCCGTGTGGTGTCGTGGGACACCCGATAGGAACGAAGTTGTGACGATCGAGTAAAACTGATTTGACACGATTTTAATTACAACGCCATCTATGAAAGCGGCTATTACCTACATATTAAAAACAATTAAAACAATTTATACATTGGTAAAATCTCCTTGCGAAATGATTTCCTATCTATTCGATAGATGGCGCTGAATGTCTGACAAGATGACACGAAAATAAAGAGCAAAAAGCCAACATCACGTGGTATTCCCAGGCGGTCACCCATCCAAGTACTAACCACGCCCGATGTTGCTTAACTTCGGTGATCGGACGAGAACCGGTGTATTCAACATGGTATGGACGTTGGCGAACGTTAAAGCAAATTTAATGTATGGTATCCACAGTTAGACGTCAATTTATATTAAAAGTGTCGTGACAAATTTTCGTACGATTTTTTTCCGTCTAGCCCCCTTTCACAACGCGCGATAAGGAACTTCGTTCCAATAATAATAATATCTCACACATCTCACATGAGGCCGTCTGATCCCAAACTAGGCAGAACCTGTACTATAGTAACCAGACTGCTGATAAACATACTTATATATTTTTAAATAGATACATATTGTAGATAAATGACACCCACATAGAACAAATGACCGTGCTCGTCACACAATATCGGTCCTGGGTGGGAATCGAAACCACGAGCTCCGGCTTAGCAGTCAGAGTCACTAACCACTAGACTAACAGGCCCGTCCTTCCCATTCTTTATTTCTATTCTTATAACAGTTTGTGATATGATGGACTATCCTACGTTATTTACTGTTTTAAGTACTATTTAAAATAACTTGTTAGAAAGAACTGAGGACACAAACAAACTATTTACAATTCTCTCGACAGAGAGAAAATAAAATCGCTAGAAAATAACCAAAATACAGAATCATGTGAATGTTACGTCTACAATGATTGCAAGAGCACTTATTAACTTGAATTGGTCGTTTAATTTTAAATGGCGCTTGAGCTTTCGCTGACGCAAGACAAACTCGTGATAAAAACTTGTTGGAATAAAGAGGTTTTCTGACTTTAAAATCGCTCTAAAATTTATCTAATTTATGTAAATATAGACGTAGGTACACCGAGAAAGAGCAACCTTCAACTGACCCTGTATAATGAAAATTGATTTCCAAATAAAATTAGTCGTTTTCGGGTTTTTATTGTGGTTAGAACACTCAACAGATTTTAGGCCTTGCCTTTTAGATTATTTTTAATGATTAGAATTAAGAATACAGTTCCTTCACAGGTGATTTCTACCACCTATCACTAACTTGACGCCACCTCTTCTACTTCGTCACTTCTACAACTAAGCAGCATGCAGTCGTTACAAGTCTCAATTTCCTATATATCGTTTGTGCCATCATAGTCATCGACAGCCTTTACTAGTCTACTGCTGGACATAGGCCTCTCCTTAGAAAGGAGGTTTTGGAAAAGAAAGGTTTCAAAATTCGAAATTGGCCCTTTATTTGTTTAAATTAATTAGTTTAAAGTAAATTTAATAAGTAAACGCTTAGTAATCCTTATCCGTGTATCCTTGAACTCATTATTCAATTATACGCACACTACCAGAAAGATGCTAACGCCCACACATAGGAACTCACACATACACAAACACTTACGAAATACACTAAACCATAAAGACTACATAGATATTCCCTTCATACGCTCGGTTTGGAATACAGTAGCTGTTTTCAGAGCTTACGTAGCTAGAACGGCTCTGTGGAAGATTAAGTTTCAGAATTAGTACTCCAGTTGTTGTCGATATTACGCTTTTGCGTAGCCTATCTCTAGTTATTTTGAGTCTAATTTATTCAGTTCAGTAATTGAAAACATTGTTTCAATGACCTCAGTTTGGAAAATTCAAAATTAAATAGTTCTTGATAAACGAACCCAGAATTTTAAAGACAAAAATAAAGTCAAGTCAAAATTATACGAATTATACATAACTCCTCAACTGTAAAAAATGTCCTACGTAATAAAGCAGTTAAACACAACTCTTTTGAACGTTGTTTCTAAATAGTTTATTAGTAACTCTAACCAAGTTCAACATAATGAATTAAAGAAACAAACATATAACAAAGACTATCAAAATTTGTTTTTTAATTCTAAATAGTATAATTATTATATTGTAGTTGCCATCATTTCTGATAGATTTCACTATGAAACACCATATCCAATCGGGGTTTGTGGCAGGGTGGTGTTTCGGAATCGAACCAACTAAAACCACACGGTGTGCCACTCTGCGCGCCACTCTGCGCCTGTAATAGGAGGGATCCGGGAACTGCTGTTATTAAGATATCCGGACCCCTCCTAGTGCCTTCAACGGCGCGGGCACCACCTTCTTGTACATTCTCTATTTAAGCGAGTACATTCTCGCGGCTGGCCGTTATGGCGGGTGGAGGGGAAAACCCGTCAAATCCACCCGCAGTCACACTCAGGGCGGCATGAGGCGGTGGTAAGCGCACCTGCGAGATGACGTCTTCGCAGAAGGATGCGACCGCTGTGAAACATCTGTCACTACCGGCCATGTATTGGCTTGGCCACCGGCGTATGATGGCCGGTAGCGAGAGATCCCCCGATGACTGCAATGAGGACCCGGCGCCCAAGGCGGGCAAATTGCCAGCGTGTGCTGAGCCGAGTCCACAGTGAGTGACAGGCGGGATTCCCTCCTAGTGACCGAGTGTAGGTATTTGCCGCAAGAGCCGTGCCCGGAAAGGACCTGCGTTAGTCGGAAGGAAAGGGTCCCATGCTGCTGCCCTGCCCACTCGACGATAACCCCCACGGCAGCAAAGCCAGCACGTGGAGCCTCCAGCCGGGATAACCAACTGCCACTATCCGCCCGGAACTCAGCCGTCCGCCGATATGCTTCGGCGAGCACTTCTTCTTCGAAATCCCCTGGGATAGTACCCCCCAATGCACACGCCGCCTCCGACGAAACGGTGCGGTAACCAAGTGTGGCTCTAACCGCCAATATCGAAATGGCAGTGGCAGATAGTGGCAGTCTATTTAGAGGGCACCTCTAAATAGACTGTCACTAGCCGTCTCAGCTACTTTGGCACCCCATGATAGAAGAGTGCTTCCCTGATGCAGCTGCATGGCAGACCATTGAATATGTTGGCGATGTCCAATGACACCGCCAATGCAACGCCGATCGAAACGTTGGCGGTGGAATCCTATCAACAACTTAGAGCTGGTGGCTCTAAGTTGTCGCTAAAAACCAAAGCCTATAGACAACACAGAGCTGGTGGCTCTAAGTTGTCGATAAAAATCGAAGCCTATTGACAACATAGAGCTGGTGGCTCTAAGTTGTCGATAGCCTTCGTCAAACACATGACGACCGGATGGCGTAGTGGTTTGTGTAACGAACTGCTATTCCAAAGGTCTCGGGTTCGATTCCCGCTCAAGTCAAACATTTGTGTGCATGAACATTTGATGTTTGATTTGGTCTGGGTGTTTTTATGTATAATATGTGTGTATTTACAAAAAAAAAGTATATATGTATTTAGATCAGTTGTCTAGTACCCATAGTACAAGCTCTGCTTAGTTTGGGACTAGATGGCGTTGTGTGTATGTGGTGGAATATTATTATTATAGTCGACGGCCGGGATAGCGTGCTATGTATTTATCCACGATCCCGTTACGGATACGCATTGGCAGTTTTCGTAAGAAATCAAATTATGAACACATTCCTCGTTTGTATAGGTCATCATTTGCAATATTATCAAAAGCACAAAGCAAAAAAAAAAAAAAAGTTATATCTTGAAAATAGTTTGGTTTGGGATATGGTGTTTCAAAGTGAAATCTATCAGAAATGCCTAGAATAAATACCTAGACGTTATCAATTAAATTTTGTAACAATACTCGTAAACTTTGAAATTACCATTTACTTATTAATATTCTGTCTCTTTTTTCTGCATGGGCCATAAATCTGTATTAGAAAAATATCAAGTCTTTTTAGTCATAGGAGCAATGTTGTAAGCTCGCACGTAATATTTAAATTTCTAAAATGCAAGTTTTATAAAATGTATCATCGCCAAACATTAAATTTATAGCTTACATAAAAATCTCAAATATATTTTCTCCATTAATGAATACTTCCATAATTTAACTAAAAGTTGTATAAAACTATATCACTTTATTAATAAAACTTAGATCTAATGTAGTAATGTGAAAGGCATCTAAAACTATTAAGATTGAAAACTTTTTAACCTATATTAAAGGACTGAGACGATAATAAAGAGATTGTGTGAACAAGGAAAGATCTGTCTATTTTTTTGGTAAGTTGCCAATACGCAACAATTATTTAGTAAATATTTTCTCAATCCTTTCACAAAGAGACAGTATAAAAGTTTTATTGCTCTATATTTTACTGATTCACTAGTAAATTATAGTGTCTCAATTTTTTAATTATGACTTTTACACTTTTTTTCGCAGTTGCGGTGGCGCTGTCATTCTTTATTTGTTGGGCGCCTTTCCACGTGCAGAGACTACTAGCCATATACGGAAAAAGTTTGGAACAGCCCTCCGATACTTTCTACCTGGTAACTTGATCTGTTCTTATATTTACTTGGTATTCTTATTGTTTTTTCTTATATGCTGTTAGGAAAACAGTAATTATGGTCTCAGTATCATAAGCTTTTTCTTTAAAATGGTATTTTTCTATTAAATATTTTTTAAAGTAAATCACCGTTTGACGCAACGTATTAAGGCTGCAAATCTAAAATTTGAGATTTAGAATTAGATAAATACCATAAGTATTGTTTCGAACAATTCTTATAGTATGTATCTAATTCGGAACTTTGGACATCGTGCAAAGGTCTAGATTTAAAGTATTACGTACTGTGTGCAGTAAGTCAAGTCAAGTCAAGTATTCATTGGCTGATAAGAGGAAATGATTAGTTATTAGCTTAACGTATTTTTTGACTAAGAACACAAAATTGAGAATATGTAGTAGGAAGTGTAAGTAGTGTATTCTGTTCCAAATTGTGTGTCAATTTACACACACTTAGATCATTATATCACCATTTCCATACATCAAGAACTCAAAGCTAATTCATATGGAGAAATTATTACAAATGATTCCTAAATACTCTTTATAAGCAATATAAGTATATGACATACTCTCTTACGCCGCTTATTCTAAGTCCCTGATCGACATATTGTATACGCGGTTACGAAAATGAATGTTCCAATTAGCTGAGCTCATTCCTTTTTTTCCTCACTGTTATTATACGAGTTCAATGAACACATGATGTTTATCGGTAAAACCTATAGTTACAGTAAAAAGAGCAAATTTTTGAAGAAAATTTTAGTACTGCCCTATCTCAAGCAGTAAAGGAAGAATTTTTTGTTGCTATTATCAATCTTTATCTTCATACCACCGCTAGGTGTTTTGTAAGGTCAAAATTTCCCTAAGGCGTAAATGATTGGACAGATAACGCTATTTTTCTTCAGAGGTAGCAAGCATCATTATTATTGCGTGTTATTTGAGAAGCCTATTTTTTCAGAGCTCAAACTCTGATAAAAAATTATTATACGAATTTCTGCGCTTTATCCTTAGAAGTATAGAGGTTTATGAGGAAAACACTGAGTCCAAAGCAGGTTTACAAGAGAGAATAAAAAATGTTTATTTGGTATTTGCACTTTGACTCCTAACGTTCAAAGTAGCGTTTTTAGAAAAAAGTTATTTGATACATGAAGTTTTAATAGTTTTTTTTTCTGTGCAGGTATACATCGTGCTGACATTTTTGTCAGGGGTTTTGTACTTCTTGTCGACGGCGATCAACCCTTTTCTCTACAGCATTATGTCCAATAAGTTCAGAAATGCATTCAAGGTAAGTCTGAGAACTTCCAAAAGGCATTCAATTTCTTTAGATACATATTTTCTGTTTACAATATTTCTAAACGTTTCAATTTCTTTCTTATCATGTTGTCATACAGCGAAAATTTTATGTTGCCGTTGTCTGCAAGTAGGTCTTTTTTATAATTCTCTTCAACGATGAAACTTAATAACAATGTCTATCGTAGTCTCAATAAAATATGACTTATTGCAAAGACACAGAAACTATGGAGTGTATCAAGAACTAATCAAATATAAAAAATTAAAACGTATTTTTGAGTTACAACTCTATTGAGATCTAATTCAATAAACTACATTTTAAATAATAATAAGACCTTAACATTCTTCTTATTGTTGAATAGCGTAAAAATTAATTTTGAAATGGTTGAAATAATAATCGAACCATTTCTGATTTTGATGATTTTCTTTTTCTAAGGGAAATCTCAAGATCAGCAAGAGAAACCTAAGATTTCTTAACACTTAAATAATTATATAAACCAGATTTTATCTACAGAGGCAAATGTTCAAAAATCGATACGATAACTGGCAAAAAATCGAAAATAGCCGAAAATCGATCGAAGTTGCGTGCAATAGGAACGGCCTATGTCCAGCAGTGGACTGCGATAGGCTGATGATGATGATGAACTGGAACATAAACGTAATTTTTAATTGTCGTCTATACTGACAAACAATACAAATTTAAAAATGATATGGTATAAAAGATCAAAATATCGTCCCTAGTTATTTTTATGAGAAAAGTAAAATACAAAAAAAATTGTTGGAGTTAATGCATTTTTTAATTAAGATAAATTACTAACTAAATATAATCATGAATTTCTAGAGCTTATAATGGAAAGTGTAAGTGGAATTTACTTTATAATGCTAGGCCGGCAAGTAATTTTGTAAAAGTATTTTAGCACTATGTATGTAAATTTATGTCACAATTCTTTTATAATGTCTGAATAAAAAACAAAGGGCATAGCTTTTCTAAATTATGAATTTTAAAAGTTGGAGCTTTCCGAAAGTTTCCTTGAAACATCTTAAAAGTTTAGTGGCGGTTGAAGTAAAAGTCAAGAAACCAGAAAATTTTGTCGGTTTCAAACTTTAACCGGCAAGGGTGTCGGGTTGTATTGGTTTAGACAAGAAAATTTAGCATGTTGATATTCATATTCTTTGTGAATATTGTAGGATATTTTTACGGAATAGGGATTTTGTCTGTACACACAGCTTGTTGTCGTGATGCGCTCGTTAACAATTTTATATTTTAATTCTTAAAACACAAATAATAAACATACATAATATGTTAGTACTTCTATATAGTACATAAGTTTTATGTACAAGCACTAACCCCAAAATCTACATAGACTTTTACTTAAACGTGAATATCGTGTAAATTAAGATCATTCAAAAATCACTCACGCTGCCTATACCAAATCACTTGTCTAATGTAATTCAATATATTGGCTCTGGTAAACTATTCGATATCCCTTTCCTAATGCGTCATAGTTAGAATTTTTCCCTTGTTTGTGCTGTAAGACCTTGCTTTTGTAAAATTTCTAAATTGCCAAATTGTTTGAAAAAAGAAAGCTTGAAAATTTAGGTAAATTTTGGTACTTACAAGTATTCGCGAAAATCTAAATTTGCCCATATCTTTTTATCGTGTTAACTCAGGACCTTAATTTTTATACACCTAATAGGGACTCTAGACCTTAGTATCTGGCATAAATTTCAACTTGCTAGGTCCACCCGTTTCTTAGAAAATCGGTGACACACGGACAGACGGATAAGAGAGTGATCTTGTAAGGGTTCCTTTTTAACCTTTTGAGGTACGCAATCCTAAAAAGAAGTACATACGTATTTAAACTCTGCTTAGTTTGGCACTAAACAGCGTTGTGTGAATATCGTAGAATATTATATAATATTTTTTGAAATCGGTGACGGAGTATAATAAAACATACAGTTCAACTATAATACCTTTAACTAAAATGACTACCTTCTGACTAGTGTAATGTCCTAGTGCTATTTCTAGATCGTTGTGACAAAACATAATTCACCATTTATGAGACTTCTGCGGTGATGATGAAGTTGGCATAACAAAATGACAGATGATGTTTATTTAAAATATGTGAAGTCATTTGTTTATTCTCAAAATTGGTTTGTGTTTTTCATACTAATTATCATAATAATCATTAGTCATTCGTTTGTCACCATTGAAACGTCGAAGTTTTTATTCTTTGAAACATCATTTATTTTTCAAATCAGTTTATTTTTAATATAATCTCTTTCCTTCTTATGGTAGGTCCTAATAATACTACTACATATTAGATAATAGAAAAACTTTTAACGTTGTCGTAGTGATTACATTTTATAATTATAGATTTCTTTTGTTTTTTTGCTAATGATGACGATTGTCATAAGTACTAATTCACTGTAACACTTGTATTCGCATAGTTAATAAATTATTTTTGTTTGAGATAGAAATTTAAAAGTAGTAAGATATTTAAACACATTTCTTAGAGTGAAAACTATATAACGGCATCAACAAGTGGAACTAACTGCCGTATACTAGTCCATCCTAACGTTTTAAATGAGAAAGTGTGTCTGTCTGTCTGTTTCTTCACGCTTAAATCGCTGAATTCATTTTTAAGGAAAGGCATATGTTACTCGCTGATAATATAATTTTAAATTCTTTCACCAATGGAAAGCTACATTATCTTGGTATATTTAAGTTTTTTTTTGGCTATAATATTTTAAATTTTTCAACAAGAATATTTTTATGATAACCTTAGAAATGTGTGTTTTTATTGATATCCATAACTTAATTAACAACCAAAGTAGAATATTTATTTTTAGTATAACGTAATCTGATTAGCGGGTGAGGTTGATTACCCAATCCTGTCTGAATTAGATAAATAACGTGAAAGTTAATTAAGCATTTTCAATTAATATATATACACCACATACAAGATAGAAAGTTGGTGTTTCTTAAGTAGGTACATTGCCTAAGTTCATTATGTTAATCCTTCGGGGCAAGCAATCTTTTTATAAATGAAATTAACATCGAAATCAAAATATAATAAATGAAAAATTGTCTAATAGCTATACTTAATAATATTGCCCAATATAATATTAGGAAAAAAATCTAAGGTATTTAAAACTTAACAGACCACAGAGGTCAGTAAGTAGTAGGTTTTTAAGGTAATAATTAATGGTTAGTTCTTTGATTTGAAATTCGATTGTGAAAGTACTTCGTCAAATGCCAAAAAATTCAAATTTCGTATTATGATAATTTTGAAATATTAATTGCTCGGTTACCGATTACAGTTTTAAAGGAGACAAATGCTCCAATTTTTCATACCGTGGCTACATCTACGCAGTCTACTTATAAATAAATATATATTACGAAATACTGATATTCATAGGTACTTATATTATGAATAAAAAGTGAGTTTGTTTGTTTGTTGATGACACAAAAATGACGGCAGATGTCTATTGCCAAGAATTGCAAACAATGATGGAGAAGTTTGCAATTCAACAACCACGACTGGTCAATCGCTCTGCCCTTTTGCCTCTCCACAACAACGGGGGGCCACACTTCACGACCGACCATCGCAAGGCTACAAAAGCTACAGCTAGAAGCTCTCCATCACCCACCGTACACTCACCGGACCTTGCCCGAACAGATTTCTACTTTTTTTAAAAATATAGTCAATTTTTATAAGTAGTAAAAATTCAACACCAAAAAGTTAACATCATCGTCTCCCGTCGAGCAGACTTCTACAGTAAAGGGATAAACAAACTGCCATCGAAATGACAAAGTTATACAGATAATTTAGGCCAGTACTTTAATTAGCTAACATAAAAAAAAAACATAAAAATCTCCAACTTTATAGGTAAAAACCTAAAATAATGATGGGAGCGATAGATATAAAGTTATGCACGAGCTGTTTTAATTTGATTACTTACGTTATTGAAGGGTTGTTGTTTAATTTGTGTTTTTTTTTTGGACGTTTGAAGAGTCTGATACATTACGTTTAGCGGATGTGCGAATATAATACATATATATATATATATAATAAGATATTTATAGTTCTGCGAACACTACAATGATAATCCTACTCGTACCAAAATACCTAACGCCTTCGTATAAAACAAGACGTCTCTTAAATTTTTTTGCTTTCGTGTTCAGTCTGTTTACTTACTAACAACGGCAACAAAGTGTACGGCGAAAACTTCGATTGAACAATTTTTATGCTAATTCAATAGAGGTAATTTGCATTAGAACGGTTGCTTACACGCCACATTATGGAGAATATAGCCTAGGCATGGATAGTGGAAATATTACAGTACTACTTACCTGGTTTTAAAAACGCTTGCTATATACTTCAAATTGCCACAATCTGCTTAATATATTTGCTATATAGACCTATGTTTAGCAGTGGACTGAAATAGGCCGATTGATTGATACAAGTACCTACTCCCCTTTCGTGACTTATCTCCGAGGAAAATTAACTGGTTTTTAGTTACCTGTTTGGTAACATTACATTAACATTTACAACTTAAGCGCTTAATTGTCATAATTGTGAATTCAAAATTAATTCATTAAAACGCAGGCATGTTTAATTTTGGGTTGACTTTAAGCATTAAAGGTCATCATCATCATTAGCCTATCGCCTTCAACTGCTAAACGAAGGCCTCCCCAAAGGAGCGCCAACCATCTCGGTCTTGGGCAGTCCGCATCCATCCGCTGCCAGCCACTTTCAAGTTGTCGGTTCGTCGTGCTGCAGGAAGCCCTACAGTATGTAACGGTAACCGATGCAAATAGAAGTTGATGGCATCATGCTAAACATAGACGTTGTACCTTATCTTAGTGTTCAAAAATACAAGAAGTTAGTCATGAAGTTTATACCTTACCATCGCCACTAATGCTGAAGGACACACTTAATAAGATTTCTAAAGATTCGTATAACATTCTTATTTGAAACCGGAAAATAA